GCTCTACCACTGAGCCACCTTCCCAGCCCCTTTTGTCTATTTTTAAAATGTGTGTGTGTGTGTCCATATTCAGGCTTGCCCTTAGGACTTTGTGCTCTTGCTTGGCTTTTATGCTCAAAGTTGGCACTCTGCCCTTTGAGCCACAGCCCCATTTCCGATTTGGGTGTTTTGTTTGTTTTTGTTTTGCTGATTACCTGGGGTTTGAACTCGGAGCCTTGAGCTTGCTAAGCAGGCACTGTACCACTTAAGCCATACCCCCCCTTCCCTATGAGCATTTCTAAAGAAAGGAGGTCTACACATGCTGAACCAGATACTCAGTCGCCACCATTTTCTTTTCATCCACCAGTTCACAATGGTGATGCCTGTCTGGCCACACCCAATCCTTCCTCCCGCCTCTAACTCACCAGCTCCTTCTGCCCCCTGAGCCTAGAGATGTCTATCCTCTGCCTGCATCTCATTCTCCCCAGCCCCACTTGGTCTGACCTACATCCAAGCCGTCTTGGGCAGCCCTGCCCTGGCCCTCTGTAGCCTCTCTGCCCTCCTCCCTCCTCCCCTTAAATGCATCTTCCTGCTGTGGACTGGATTCAACTGCAAATATGCTTATCTCATTTTCCAGCTTGAATCTGATTGTTCTTGGGACAGAATCCAAATCCTCTGCCCATTTTGTGGTCTGGAGCCAATCTATCTCCAAGCTGAATTGCTTTCGCAAGTCCAGCTTCCAATACTACACCCCACTATACAAGCTATTTCCTACCTCTGGGCCTTTGCCCATGCAATGCCCTCTGCCTGGAAGTCCAGCTCCCTGCAAGGAAAGAGTATGTTGCCTGTGCTCGCCCAAGAGCCATTTCCTTCCTTCTATAATGGGATCTCCTCCCCAGCTCCCACATCTGGAGTTTCCTGTAAGTGCTGAGTGGTTTCTGGGTTCAAGGGTAAACTTCAAGGTGAACTTAAGATTCAGCCTGGAAGATCTCTTTTGTTTTGTTTTGTTTCTGTGCTGGTCCTAGGACTTGAATTCAGGGCCTGAGTACTGTCCCTGAGCTTTTTAGCTTTTTAACCACAGCTTCGTTTCTGTTTTTTTGGTTTTGTTTTGTGTGTGTGTGTGTGTGTGTGTGTGTCTGTGTGTGTGTGTGTGTGTGTGTATGGTTATTTGGAGTTAAGAATCTCACAGGGCTGGGAAGGTGGTTCAGTGGTACAGTGCTTGCCTTGCATGCCTGAGGCCCTGGGTTCGATTCCCCAGCACCACATAAGCAAAAAAAGTGGGAAGTGTCGCTGTGGCTCAAGTGGTAGAGTGCTAGCCTTGAGCTGAAGAGCTGAGGGACAGCGCCCAGGCCCAGAGTTCAGGCCCCATGACTGGCTTTGAACCATGATCCTCCTATGTCAGCCTCCTGAGTAGCTAGGATTTACAGGCCTGAGTACCAGCACCCAACATTGATTTCTTTAAAAAAAAAAAAAAGAAAGAAAGAAAGAAAAAGGAAAAAGGGGAGGCGGGCAGTGCTGTAACACAATGATGTCACATGCGTTTTCCTCTTGGCCACAGTCTACTTCCCTTGGTCTTCTTCCATCTTTACACATTTGAGTGCAGAGGTATTTGCGCTTGACAGTGCTGGTACACAGTCCCCACTTACGCCTCTCCTGGGCCTTCACTTCCCCCTGGAGCCCAGCGTTTTGCTTTTCAATTCCCAGACCACTCCTGGATCTAATTTCCTGGGTGCCCAGTTCTTCCAGAAGTTCACTTCTCCTTCTTCCGGGAAGAGGAGGCTCTCAGATCTGAGCTTTCCAAAGCCGGACCCCATAGATGAACGTGTCCATGCTTCTCCGGGAGAGACAGGACACGGGATGGAGGTGGCATCAGACGGGGCAGGTGCATCCCTGGGGCCGCCTCGGGGCTGTGTGCTGTGGGTGAGGCCTTTGTGCCCAGAACATCACCAAAGGCAGCAATCCAAGTCTGTCCAGCGTCTCTTGTCAAATGAATCTCCTTCTACTGTTGGCTCCCAGCCTGGCACAGCTGGTGCATGAAGGATAAAGGCCTTGGGACTCCTGCCTCTGATCTGAACTCTTTTTTGTTTTTTGTCGGTCGTGGGGCTTGAACTCTGGGCCTGGGCGCTGTCCCTCAGCTCTTCAGCTCAAGGCGAGCGCTCTACCACTTGAGCTACAGCGCCACTTCCGGTTTTCTGGTGGTTTATTAGAGATAGGAGTCTCACAGTCTCTCCTGCCCGGGCTGGCTTTGAACCGCGATCCTCACATCTCAGCCTCCTGAGTAGCTAGGATTACAGGTGTGAGCCACCAGCGCCCGGCTGATCTTAACTCTTTATTGAAGGACTCTCCCCTTTTAGCCCATTCTTTCCATGTATCCAAAGATGGAATATGAAGGAGTAACCCCCACCCCGTTTTTCCCAGGTGCATACAGATGCCATGCAAGCCACCAAAGAGAGGCGCAGACTCCCTGACACAGGCAGGGCAAGCGGAACTGAGCCTGGTTGTAAACATTTCAGGGTGGACCCAGCGTGTAAAGCTCTGAGGCCAGGAAAGGGCTAAAAGGTTGAAAGACCGAAAAAAAAACCAACCCTGTATCCTGTGAAGGTCAAACTGTCTAGGCAAGACAGATGTAGAGCTGTTTGAACATTAAAAAGCTTGAGACCTTGGAGAAGGGGACTCTATTCTCTGCCTCCACCTGCAGTCGCCTCCCTATACTAGACTCATATACCGCTGTCTCCTTGCTCAGCCCCTATAAAAACCTTCACTCCAAGGCTTCCCCACAACCGCCAGACCACAGGAAGGACCGTGTCCTTCCCCAGCAATAAATAGTCCTGGTCTGTTGATATGGAGTTTGGCCTATTTCCTTCCTTTTCTCCTCCATCTTTCTAAGTTATTTCTCTCTCTCTCATAACAATAACAATAATGATGATGATGAAACTGTTGGACTTTGACCAATTTTTTTTTCTATTTTCCATGTGCTGAAATAGCCGTTTTAAACCAGAGGCCGTGAGATTCACCTGTAGTCCCAGCTAGGAAGGCTGAGCTGGCAGGAACTACTCAATTGAAAGTTTGAGGTCAACCAGGGCTACACTGTGAGACCGTGTGTGTGTGTGTGTGTGTGTGTGTGTGTGTGTGTTTGTGTGTGTGTGTAACTAGGGTATGAAGCATTTTCATTTGGCTTTTTCTGCAGCTGGCACTCTACCATGTGATCCACGCTTTCCACCTCCAGCTTTTTGCTGGTTAACTGGAGAACAAGAGTCTCGCAAATCTGTTTGCCTGGAGGTGCCTTTGAAATTCTCAGGTATAAGACAGTTCTCAGATCTCAGCCTCCTGAGTAGCTAGGATGACAGGAGTGAGCCACTGGTACTGGTCTACGAGACCTCATCTTCAAAAGTTAGCTAAGCTGCCCTGGGCGTTTCAACATAGATCTGCTATCTCTGAGTGATGACATATAGGTGCCATCCAGGCCACCCGTACATCCTCTCCTGCACAATGCCAGCTCTCATGTAACGTGTCTTCGTGTACAACACCATAAAGAGGCCCCCTGACTTCACAGTAAACAGTGCATGTTAGTCATTTCTAACACTGACCACTTAGTGTATGGTAATTATTACCATAAAGTTATTACCATAATAAAGCCCATCAGGTTGAGTTTATTAGACCCATTTTACAGATGAGGAAACTGAGGTGAACAAAGGTGAAGTCAGGCCTGGCAGGTTACACTAAAGATGTGTCCAGCCAATCAGGACTTCAAGATCGACAGGGGTAGGGCACTGGAGTGGTCCCTTCGGCAAACAGCTTGAGGGAGAAATCGAGGGCAGGGGCAGCCTGGGTTAGCATCCCCAGAGAGATGACATCAATCTGGGGCCCACAGAACTGGGGGAGGTTGTTCAGCGTGACACCCCCACTGGCTTCCACAGTCACACTTGGGAACTGGGCCTTCACTGCAGCAGCTGTGGGGTGAAGCTCCTACAAGACACAAGCTCAGGGGAGACAAGAGTCCCCTCCCCCGTGACCCCTCCCCACCAATCAGATCCGGCCTCACCTCAGGCTTGAAGTTGTCCAATAAGAGGAGGTCCGCACCTGCCTCAGCGGCCTGCATGGCCTCCTGTAAGCAGCTGCATTCCACTTCTATCTTTAGGGTGAAGTCCGTCACCTGCCGAGCAGCCTGGACCGCCTGCGGGGTTAGAACCCATGAGGGTGAGGGGTGAGGATAGTTAACTGGGCGCCAGGCGCTGGGCACAGAAGGGACTGGAGGTGGAGGAGAAAATTTGGGGAGCTTTCTATTAGGTTAAACCATTTTGCAGGCTGAAAAAAATAGACCAGAATTCAAGTTTGACTTGACTATTAGAACTATAAAAGGGTCTTCAAAAACATTCCTACAGGGGCTGGGAAGGTGGCTCAGTGGTAGAGCGCTTGCCTTGCATGCATGAGGCCCTGGGGTTCAATTCTTCAGCACCACATAAGCAAAAAGAAAAAAGCTGGAAGTGGCGCTGTGGCTCAAGTGGTAGAGCGCTCTCCTTGAGCTGAAGAGCTGAGGGACAGCG